TTCTCTATTCCATATTTTGACATATTGGAGAAGAATGGAGAAAAATTGTGGGTAGCAGTTAAATCTTGAAACACAAGCTGCCCTAAGATTTAATTGAATTTTTGCTCCCCAACTGAATTGGAAATTTATTCAAGATTTGTAGATATCAGCTATGCAGAAAGACAGCTTGTAGGTTATGACACGTCCTTTAAGGTCTCCAATTTCTTAAATTCCTTATATTTGTTACATTAGCATATTTTCTACCTTAAGAATGTATACAAGTTTTGCTTCCTCTGAGACTAGATGTAGCATCTATAAATGAGATGTAAGTGACATGGTTGTGATCAGATAAGATTATTAATTCTCAAGTGATAAAAACAGTATGGGGGAACCAATATTTTGAGGTTTATTGAACCAATATGTACTATGCTCGCATCCTCTCACCAAAATAAATAAAAAAAGGAAAATCATTCCTGTTGTTTTATTGTTAGAATTATTCCTCTTTCTCTCCCTCTCTTTACTTTACCTCCTCCCCCTTTACTAGGTTGTTTCTAAGCACCATGGAAAAAGTTGAATTCATGGGTTGTGTTTATTAGGGTCTACAGAGTTCCACTGGGAAGCCTAGAAATCCCTGCGGATTACCCTGCAGTCTTTTAAGCCAAAGAATCTACCCAATGTTCACAGTAACAGATGATCTATTTGTCAATGTGACCTGTAGGCCGATCTTCCTTTTAACTTGAATGTAATCATAAGGAAGTGGAAGTAAGTGGAGAGTATGCTCCCTTGTTTACTGCTGAAAAGGCTTTGCTTCTCTGAAAAAGTTTTCCAATAATGCTGCAATATTCCATAATCAGTCTGTTTCCTGCTAATTTCTTTGCTTTTGCTGCAGGTCTTTATTTATTGCCTGTGGTAGTATTTTATAGAACTAATTTACTTTCATGTATGAAAGTTAGTGAGAAGTTAAATTTCCAAAGTTAATTATTTGTAAAGAAGATAAGTTAATATTTCTAAAGAATCAATGTACTTATTACAAAATGCTTAATAAAGACATTTATCTCATGACTGTGCCCTTTCTGTTATATTTTTGAGTACTTTGTAATTGGAGATGGTATTAGGTTAGAGTGCTAACAATGACGATTCCCCACATCAGAGCTACCGCTGTGTGACTTTGAGCACACCTAATTACATATCCGGGTCTCTGTCTAATTACCTATAAACTGAGAAATTAAGAATAAATCACCTGTAAGTTTTTTTTTTTACAATTGTTTCTACAATTGTTTATAGACTTGCACTTAGAAAATAAGTTTAGTGATAGCTCCTGTGAAACCATAAAAATACATATGATTTTTTTATATAGTCTCCCCTCTAATAGTAAAAATCTTATTTATGTCATCAGATAGTCATTAAATACAACTTATAATAAAATAAAAATTATTTTTAGCTTAATGAAGCAACGTATGTAATGTAGCAGCATGTTTATAAAATATCATTATGTTTCACTCCCATAAGGAAGGATATTCTAGCATAGAGAACAAACTATAGGCAATACTTTAATTTGAAAAATATTAGGAAGAAAATTATCATTGGAGAAAGTTTATGTACATCCTGTCTATATATATCACTAGACTGTATTTTAAAATTTAAAATATTGTTTAAAAAAGACATGATACAGTAGCACTTAGCAACTTTAACACACAGTTTTTCAGTTAATTCAAAAAATATTTGAAGAATACTTATTATGTGCCAATGATTCTACTAGATACTGAAGATAACACAGTGAACAAGAAAAACAAAAAAACAACTGACGAAGTCCTGGCTTTTAAAGGTCCTGCATTCTAGAGTGTGTGATGGTGATGTTGGAGATGAGGAAGCGGGAGGGTAGACAGAAAATAAAGAAACCGATTTATAGCTTGACAGAGAACATACAGGGGATAGTGAGGGCAGGAGGGAGAAAGGTTTGCCTTACTGATGAGATAAAATTTGAGTGAAGACTAAAGAAAGAGAGTGAGAGAGCTCTGTGGGGCAAAGGGAACAAAAATCTAAGACAAAAACTTGATGTCAGCCAGAGTGGAGTAAATACTCAGAAATGTGTGTGTGTTCATGCCCATAGGGCAGTCATCCCTGAAGAAATGTGAAGACCACTCTAAGAAGTTTGGAGAGACAGGAGAAGTTATTGGTGGGCTGTGAGCAGAGAAGTAACACAATCAGATTTATGCTCAACAGAATTACTATGGCTGTAGTACTGAGGAAAGGCTATATAGAAGCAAGTGCTGAGAAATTAGAGAACCAAATTATAAGCATGTTGCAGTTAAAAAGGTTAGAGATATCAACACATGTGGTGGTAAGTAGTTGGTTTAGAATCAAAGGAATTTCTGATGGATTAGATCAGCAATTTTCAACCTTTTTTATCTTGTGACATACATAAACTAATTGCTAAAATTCTACAGCACACCAAATAGACTATATTTTTTGCCAGTCTGACATAAAAATAAGGATAATTTTGATTAATTCACACCAGACAGCTATTGTGTTGGCTGTTGCCATTATTTTTTCAGTTGATGATCTAAGGAAAAAGAAGTCAGTACCCCTTATTAGTCAGGTATTGCATTTTATAAAAATTTTTGCAGCACACTGGTTGAAAATCACTGGATTAGACGGAAGCTGATAGAAGGATGGTAGTCAAAACTGACTAGGTTTTTGATCTGGGAATCTAGAAGATTGGAGTTGGCATTACGTGCAGTGGGGGTGACGTCAGAAGAGGAAGGTTGAAGTCATTTGAAATGCTATTAGTCTAGCTCCAAAGAAAATAAAGTATAAGATGAATGCATTGGGAATCCAATAATGATTTTAATTTTGTGTACTGAATAAAATAAATATTTTTGAAAATAAAATTGAATGTTATTGTCTTTTAGTTTTTAGTTGTTTTGTAGTATTTTATGTCATTTTTTTTTGTTTGTTAGACACTCTAATAGCATATGCTCATAGCATCTGAGGATCCTTTTAAAATTTTTCTCTAGCATGAAATTCATGCAGTTTTCATTTTTCCTGTAGTTTTGATATGACTGTAATGAACTTTCACAAATACAAAATGCTGCTTAAATGTGTCAAATTCAGCTTTGATAGAGAAGCCATTTAAAAAAAATTTTGAATATTTTTTATATAACACATGCATTCTGATTGACAAATCCATAATAAGTGAAACAGATTGTGTTAAAGAGTTCTTGAGTGTTTTAGCTTTTTAAGTTTAAGGACAAATGTGCAGGGACATTTTACCATAATTTAGTCAGGACAAGAGGAAAAGGGGAGAAAAGGAAAGTCCTCAGCTGACTTGTGAGTCCACTTTTAATCTAAGGCAGTGGTTTGCTAGCTCTTGGGTATCACAGCTTCCTTATAAACTTGCTGTAAACAATGGATTCTCCACTTAAAACAAATGCCTTTCGCAAACTTCTGCTTATAATTTTAAGAGATTCAGGGATACCCAGAGACCTCAAGGTTAGGCAATGTGTACACTTTAAGAAGTAAACATGAAATGCTCCAGGTTGTAGAATTCTTTCTTAGAGTTCTACCACTATAAAACCAAAAAGGAAGTAATGCTAGCAGGGAAAACCATACAAGATTTTACTGTCCCTCCTTTTCATTATAAAGCAGAGAGTGTGTGTGTGTGTGTGTGTGTGTGTGTGTGTGTGTGTGTGTGTGTGAGAGAGGGAGGGGGGAGAGAGAGAGAGAGAGAAGAGAGAGACACAGAGGAGTTGGTTTGCCTATAATCCAACAGAACTTTTTTTTTAAAAAAAATGAGAGCCAAAGACATGGCATCTACTCTAGAGCACGCTTCTTCCATTTCATTCCCTAGGTTTCTCTTAGCTGCTGAATGTATTTATTAATGAGTAAAATACATATGTAGAGCAAATTTAAGGGCATTTTAAATGGTATGAAATGCTAAAAGTTATTAGCTCAATTCCCACTAATAGAATTTTCTTCTTTTTCGTGTCTTCTGCTTAAGTATTTTGAACACAAAGCATTTTAGGACAGAAAAAGAACATGCAAAGCTATCCTAATTATGACTGTTCCTTGAGCCATAATTGATGGCAAATGATATCCAGCAGTTTAATTAAAATAAAAGTTTCACGGGTATGTATTGAGTTCATTCTCTGGTGATGAAAACTTTAGATATTCCAGAATAGCATTAAAATTCTGATAGTAATGCATTATTTTTTAAGATATAAAATTAAAATAGTAATAGAGACCAAAATAAAACTTACAAATGCAGGAGAATTAAAAACCAGGGCTAATACCTTCCACTCTTTACCTACAATTCTGTACAGCATACGTGACAAGTCACAGCCTAGAGTGAAGAGAAAAGGGACTGTACGGTTTACGTGAGACAAAGACAGTGCTCAAGGACTGTTTCTAACATCAACTCTAGAACCAATATGATCATTAAACACTCAACCTGTATTAGGACTAATTGTAACCTAAACAAAATCTTTTAAAATGATTCAGTTGTTGCAGTTTAATTTCATTTATCTTGCTCCCCTCAACACCTAGCTTGTTTCTTCTGATTTCATGTCCTTTAAATTGACTTTTCAAATTCTGCTTTTTTGTTTGTTTGTTTAAATGTGATGCTTTTAAAGAACGCTGCAAGTCAATATCCAGTTTAATTTCTTCTGGTGCAAAACTTGGAACTTACTTTGTATGATGAATTCATTGCTCAGAGATAATTCAGTGTGTGGACTATTGTTGACATAGATATTCAACAAGTTTCAATGAAGGTCCAGTAGAAACAGAGTGAGTTTATAAAATGATACTTTTTTCATAATGAAGATATTTTATAAGGCATTTACATTGTCTCTCTTTCAATCACTATGAAAATAAATAAAAGTATCCCCCCAACAATCCTGTGACATGGGGGCAATAAAGACTTTTTTTTAAAGCAAACACTTTTTTTTGAAAGTTTTTCAGATGTTTAATAACAGTTTGCTGTTATTTATATTTTTATGTGCTTTTGATCAGATACAAATTTTTATAGGGAAATAAGCAAACTTTCCTAAAAATGAATTATAAACAACTGTATTTTAGAATACTAAAAGGATTTTAAAACTTTCAATTCAGCAAAGTTAACACTTTTCCTTAATTGAAATAATGGAAAAACAAAAGTGTAGACACTTTAATGGCTTGGGGGAAACAGTCTTCAGGCCCCCAAAGTCATGTTTCTTAGCAGCCACTGTTGGGATCTGCTTCCACTACAGTCCTGCATGGTAGGCACCATTTTGTCATCTTCAGAAGGTTCATCAAGACACTGGTTACTGTTAACATGTCTCAAGGTGAGTCTCTGTAAAAGATAACCAGTAATCAGTGCAACATATTTTATCTTTAACTTCACAAGTACATCAGAATAACCCTGTTCTTTAAAAGAACTTTTACATTTTGTTTTGTTTTTTTAGTATAAACACTGTGATATGTTTATAAAAGGAACTGTGCACAGGTGGCTCTAAATTAATTACTATAGAACTTTCACTGTTATAGTGTCATCATTGCCTAATACACCTTTATTTGCAGATGGTTAAAGATATTGGCCAACATGTACTATGCATTGCCAAGAATTCAGGCTCTTTTGCAAAAAGCCCATTTGTTAGCTCTGAATTCAGTCAAGGGCTGTAAATATTAACATGCTTTCATAAAAGCTTAGTTTTCTTAGGCATGTGTTATTCAGTAACCATTTGGTGAACAAGCAAAAAGATGTCAGAGCTGTGACCCAAATGAAAAAACTGCTAGAGACGCTTCCATTTCCAAATACTAAATAAGCCATATATCTGACACTAAGAAATTTATTGTAGAAGAGTGATTATCATAGCACAAATCTGTCTTACTTGATATTATGCCCAATATAATTTAGTTTGCATTTCTAAGAATCTTCAAAAAATTAATATCAAATAAAAACAGGATGTGATGATTATATATTTTTAAATTTGTATCTCTTTATAATAACAATATTCATTAAAAGTATTATCTCAGTACTCAAATTCTGAAGTATAATTCCAAAAATTTCATGTTAACTAGTCATTACACATCTTGTCTTTTGAGTTCACGCTTACATTTTGAAGTTATATATTTTGGACTTTATAGATATACATTTTAAGTCCACATGCTTTATGCTCACTTCTGCACATGATTTATGTACATTTTTGCTCTTTCATGGCCAGTGCCTAGAATCATATTACATAAAAAGGAAACAAACTTCCTGACCAGAAGAGAAGTGTTTCAATGCATGGGAAATGATTTGCAGGTATATCTTGAAAAAAAATCATGAGATATAGTTTTATTTTGAATTACCAAAATTAAAGGTAGACAATTTTGGGGGATCTCATGATATTACAATTGAAAGTTGGCTAAAAAAATGCAGGGAGAGAGTGCAATAAAACTGGCAGAGAACTGCTGCCTAGACAATTGTAATTTTTTTGAGTAGGCCTGCAAACACCCTGGACTGCATTGAGAAAAGATGGAATGAGAAATAGGCTTGTGGTGGAGGGTGCTTAATGGACAACAAGCAGGAAATTAAAAGAGCAAGGTTATCAGATGTGAGATACAAGAATGAGGCCTTTGTTGTTGCTCTTTCAATACACAGCATCAAACTATTTATACTAAAAAGTGGGGGGGGGGATGGTCACATATAGGCAAAAAAGTAGTTGGTTTATACTTATGATGCCAGAAATTATGTCGTTGGCTGATGAATCAATAGCCAACTTGAAAAAAATTAAAACAAAAACAAAAACGATTTTCTTCGACAAAGTTCTAGTTAAAATGAACAAAATATTCTTCATTTTTGTTACATACCTGAGGTCCTTTGGGTATATATGCCTTTTTTTCAAAAAAGCTACTTACCCTGGCTTGCTTCTGTTATATCCTTTTTTAAAAAATGTATATGGTTTTGAAGATCAAATTGAATATGTTGTCAACTACATAAATAGGAATACTTTTTAAATAGGAATACTTTTTAAATATTTAGAAAGAAGTGTTATTCTTTCTAAAAATGTATAAATATTTTCTTTTAAGGAACTCATTAATAGTCAAAAGCCACAACTGTAAAGATAACAACCAATCAACCAAAAATCTCTCATTTTTAACGTTGTGCAGTAAAAAGAGCAGACATTTTAGGTCAGGCAGCATAAGTGTAAATTCCTATGTTTCCCACTCTCCATTTGGTTATGAAAACTTGGGCAAATTACAAAATTATTCTGAGAAATTGGATTCTTTGTCAGAAAATGCTCAGTTAAAATTATGAGTATTTAAAAATGACCCTTCCTTTTCTGCTTAAAAAATCTGACCTCAATCTACCATCTAACTAGGATTCCTTGGCAGTCTAAGGAGAAAATGTTAACTATATTTCTAGGCAACATTACTTACGGTAAAAATGACCTCTGATTGATAAGCTGTATCTGCATTGAATCAATATCATTATAAATACCTGATAGGAAGCCAAACTGTGGGCTTCACTAAGTGCGAAGACTTGGGAGTTTTGCATGTTGCATTGGTTTACTTGAAGATCTGACTATGGAGTTGTTACAGAGATATTGTCTCCTGTGAGGCAAAAGGGCATTAACCCAGCTGTTTTCCATGCCCACCTAATGTGGCTCTCGTCCCCTTGCATGGGCTGTCACCTGTGGAGAACCTTGCTCCCATAGGGCAGTATGAACTGCTTTAGGAAGCAATGCAAATTCTGCTAGGAGGAAGAAGTTACAGTTTCTGTCCTAGAATTCTGCAAGCAAACCTGGGAGACTAAATGTTTAAGCGTGAGAAGGCCCCTTGCTGGCAATTGCATCTACCAGGTAAGGTTGCTTTGAAAACACACTAAGGTAATATATGAGGTATGTAAGTTGCCAGATATACAAGTCCTCATTGTGTAAAAGGTCCAGACTTTTCCAGCTTCCCAATGCATATTTAGAAAAATTCTAAATATGCATTGGGAAGCTGGAAAAGTCTGAAATGTAGTTCTAATCTAAACAACACCCCTTCTCTCCTCTCCATACCTCCCCTACCCCCACTCCCAGCCTTGTCATAAGCATTCCAAGCTCAACTGTGTCATCTACTAACAACCTTTAATTAGGGAGTTAAAACTCCCCATTATAACAAGTGCTATTATAACCAGGTATTGGGAAGTGTAACGTACTTTATTTACAGGACATAAACACCTTAAGATCAATAACTAGGACATGTTGTTAACTATACTTTTTTACAAGAATACCAGATTTCGTTTTTTTTCTTAAACCAAGTAATGATTCCTTTTGTTGCTTACTGAGAAGGTATTCACAAAATCATATAAGATAGGAAGATAAAAGGTACAATTTTTTAAAAGTTTTATTATTGTATCACTTAGCCAATACTCCTAGTCATCAGTGAATTCATTTGCTTTAAGTTTCAGCTTAAAGAAATAAATTCCAGAAAGGATATGCTATGTCTGCACACAACCAAAGTATATGAATTAAAATTAACAACATTAAATAATTTCAATGTGCCAAAAGAAATCCATTTTTGGCTATTTTAATTTTCTTACTGATTTTTTTGAGTTTTAATGCAAAATCTATTATCATATAAACAGGGCTCTATTTAGCATTAGAATAAAAAAAGCTAATATGTAGTAATACATTCCATCAATTATATTTATATATATTTGAAAAAATGGAAAATACCTGTTAATTAAATACAGAATAATCACTACTTAATATATGCACATTCCAAATTAATAAGAAGCTGAGAAGTAGAAGACAGAAAAAATAACTCCATGGAGAAACAGCACATAAAGATTTTTCTTAACCACATTTAAAGAAGTAACTTTCTAGATTTCAATAGCAAAACATAAAAATAGTAAACTAATATTAACAAAGTCTGCAACACAAACCTCCAAAAATTATTAGAGAATGTAATCAGTAGGATTCTCAAAAATATTTCTAAAAACTTCTACTCTTGTATAGTTTCTCAATAGCCATTTTTGCAAAGTGCTATTGTTACATATTTCCACAGTGGGCTGTTGGGCGCCATCAGCTACTTTGCTTATTGAGAGACAGGACTGGGTGTTTATGTGAAGAAGAGTATGGGTCTGTTTGACAAAGAAAATAGTGAATAATGACAAAATCAAGTATAAAGGCAGTAATAAATCAATCATTCTTGACAACATACAATTTCCACTGAATGAGAATGGAAGGCACACGTCACAATAATTGCATCCATGGAGCTGTGAGCCACATCTTTTCAGATGGCTTTGATGTGAAGCATATTTGGCAGGAGTAAAGAATATAGAACTGAGAATAAGGAGAAGAGCCTGAGATCAAATATGAAAAATTTGCATAGAAAAGGTAATATTCTCAGTGTCTATTCTAGTAATAAAATGTTCTTAGTGCTACAGGCGTATTTTGTGAGTATGGATTTTTAAAACCATTGACTAGTCCACAGAGTTTTCAGTCATGGTCTTTGGCCTGCTCCTTGCTTGCCCCTAAACTTGAGTGGCTGCCAAGGAAAAGGGTTCATCTTAGCTTTAAGGCTTTACTTTATTTTTTTACTCAAATTATTTCCACCATGTTTTCACAGGGCTAACCTGGTGGTGCTAAGTGTTCCACATATATATTGGCACATTCATCTAAGTGTCAATTAGGAAGTTAATGAATGAAGGAAAAAGAAAAAGATCAACATCATTTGGGCTCTTAATTGTCTTCATTCTCCAAACACAACTTGCAATTAATTTGTCTGTTTCTTGTTTTCCATCTATTTCCTCAGAAGGAGCACAGCTCCAAGAAGACTAAGGACCATGACTACCTATATCACCACGCCCAGAGCCTGCAGGTAGGAGGCATTCTGTAAGTTTGTTGAGTAAACCAATCAGTGAAAAGCTAAGGCAGAAAATAAATTTTGATAATATTAACTACGTATCTTGGGCAGCTTAATGGACACAATCATTGGATTCTCAATTTCAAGGACTGACTTTCTACAGTAAAATGGTACAGAATTTATAAAGATAGAAATGTAACTCTAGAACATGAATACAGTATAAAAATACATTTGTAATATTTTGCCCCAAAATATTTATCCATGAATGACCATTAAAAAATTTCAAAGAACTTTCACTCCAGGTACTTCTAAAATTTTTATATATAGTCCAAATACTTCTAAGAGAAATTAAAAATCTCAAACAATTACATTGAGATAAAAACTATTTTTTATTTTAAAAAAACTGAATAAAACTGTTAGTATTTTCATTTGTTTGAGCAATAGCATAGTTTCTTTTTTCTGAGTAGTTTGTCTAAAAGATACCAGTTATTATTTTATGTTTTCTAGTAATTT